TAATTTCCCTTCACTGATCATCCAATAAAATAATATATTTAAACAACTCCTAGGGTAATTTAATCATACAGCAATAAGCATATATTAATAATAAATAGATAAGCATAATGAAAATTTTAGGTTAAAACACTCAATGTTTTTCTTATCAAAATTTCACAGTAGGGAATTTTACTGAATTTATCAAATACTAATTTTCAAATAATACTGGACAACATGATCTAATTTTGCTACACATCTTAGTATATTTGTTAATCATATTTTCCAATTAAAAATACTCTAATAATAATTTGAATACATTGGAAACACAAAACTATTTCAAACTCGACTTTGGAATATACTCCAACTATACAAAAGATAAAGTATTAAATCTATTTATTGCATACAGATGGAGGTTAAATTATTTAAACAAATGAAAACAGAAGTGATTATTAGACACAGCACAAATAATAATCCTCTACATTTTCATGAATATTCACACAGTTCGGATTCCAGTTTCATAATCTCATATTATAAATTACTTTTGAATATCATCATTGCTTTCTTTTTTCTAACTACATTACTTCCTACTTCAGTCTAATAGAATTATCCAACTTTCATAATTACTATACATATGTTCATTATAACTAAAATTGGAATTAAAATGATATAATAAGAAATTTTCATAAATGATTTCCCAATATAGAGGTAAAATATGGAACATAATTCCAAAATGAGAAATATAAAATTTACATAATCAGATTTTTTATCAGTTATTTTTCCATATATTATAATTGGTTCATTTAACAACTACTTAATGAGCATCTATAAGGTGCAAGAACGCACCAAAACAAAATCTCTTCAAATAAATTAAAGAGTGGTAAGCATGTAAAAGAAAAAAAGAAAGCACTACAAAAAAACTTCAATCTAAAATGTCATAGTCATTTTGAAAGATAAATTATTATTTTCAGGGTGCCTTCAGGGACATTTGATATGAGTGCCAGTATTAGTGTAGTGGTAAAGGAGTTTCCCAGGAATGAAAGTAAAAGAAAATGTGATATGTCTCTCAACCAAGATGTTATTTCAGTATTTGTATCTTACAAATTTTGCAAACCATCAACAAAAATATTCAAATTGTATTCGCAAAAATAATAATTTATTACACATTAACAAGTTTTATGAGATACTGGAATTGTCAGTAGTCTGTGCAACGAAGGAAAAGGTCAGAAACAATAAAATAATAATAGCCTAACAGTTACTAAACACCATCAACTGGTTAACATTAAATTTTAAAGCCAAAAACCTTCAGGAAACTCAATTAAGTTCCTGATCAATTGTCAAAATATTAGGTGGGACCATGCAAATAATGACACTTTCTGAATCCTTTTCTCTTCATGGATCAGTGCACCCCAACTGAAGTAATTCACCGCCATACAATGTGGTCATAATACATTCTCATTGTCATAAAGGAGAAAATATCTGCCAGAGAGGGTTTTTTCTTCTTGTGAGCACTGATAGATGAGGACCATCACTTACAGTAATTTATAAAAGGAAGCAAGTAGGGTGTTTGTGTGGCAAAGTCTTCTGCATTATCAAGTTTTGATAACTTCATACACTGTAGCCATAGTTTAACTCTTGAGTTAAAACTGTGATTGGTAAGTAAACTTACAGACTCTTTCAGGAGGTATAAATAGAGCTAAGGTCAATAGATTGGGAGGGTGGAACAAAGAGAAAGTGAGGATTTTCCTCTCTAAGTCTCATCAGGAGTTGCTGTAATTGATCTGTACTCATGTTGGACCAGGTAGTCAACAATTTGACTAACATGTTTGGTGTCAGTCTGATCCACATATTTATTACAGGCCGATATTTCATACTCATTTACCTCACATTTACACTATTAGTAGCTGCAAATATAAAAACTTAGCTTAAATTTAATATCTATTAGTACAAATATAAATGTTATGATACATAATTATACATACTATAGATTACATATTTATATAAACCATTTTTGTAAGACACATTTATATATATCCATATATACTCTCCAATATAAACTTCTCTGCATAGTTATTCTCATTAGAATGAAATAGCTCACATCTTTTAGTCTTTTTTTTTCCCAGCGAGGGTAATTGAATGTAAAATAATTAGGTTATTTAATTTTAATGAAGATGATGTCAGCAATGTAGTTAAGGCTTCCAGTTAGTTTATCATAAATGCAAACTCTTATGATCACTTATATTATGCTCTGAACTAATCAGATGAGACACCCACCTTCTCTTAAGGAATTTGTGTATTGTGATTAAATGGAAAACTGTGTGCCTCAGGGAAAACTTGCTGGCCTACTAACCTATATTTTCTATTCATGTTCATTGATAAGCTTAAACATGCCTTGGAAGCCAACAACAATCAGCACTTTTTCCAAATGTTCTAATGAGTCAGTTTACAGACATCTGTTTTATGCTGCCAGGCCATGTGCTCTGTATACCATGTTTACAGGCCATGTCTATACACTGTTCTGTGATGTCACCACTCTCGAATCGTTCCCCAATTACCCCACCTTTCAGAATGATGATTCCTGTTAATACAACAAAAATGGAAATTGTTGGTGTGGGCAGGTTGCCATACGGAGGTTTGCAGCTGCTCAATCAGATTAAGACAAATGAACATAGGCAATGTGCATCCAAAAAAAAAAAAATCATTTCAGAAGAAAACTGTCCTTTTAAACTGTTCTTTTCCTGTTTTTACTTTTTCCAGGCATTTTAGAAATAATGCATCAGTTTTAAACATTATTCTCTGAACATATAAGCTGTAGATAGTATTGTTAGGAAGCAAACGAAGAAAAAGTTAAGCAACCTTCAGTATTTTGTATGTTAAGCTTTGACCCTGATTTCCTCTACCCATACTATTTAATGTAAGCAAACTTGTTCTTACCTCACCTCACCCCATACGTACCCACTAAACATACACTCTACACCCTGTCAGGTACCTTAGAGAATAATAACGACTTCCGCTTTCTGAAGAGGAAAATAATCCAAGAAAAATTGTCAAAATATGCTTTCAAAGACTACGCAATATGCCACCAAAAAAGTAACAGAATTTACAACCCACTGAAAGATAACACGCCACCAACACCCAAGCTCACGAATAAATAAATATTTACGGCACGTACATGTGCATATCAAGGAAGGCTACATTGCAACAGCTCAGAGTCTGTGCAACATATTTATGCAATGCATATACAGTGATAAACTGAAGCACTAAAAAGGAAATGATTTTAAAGTATAGTCAACACATTTGAAGTTTCCCAGTAACTTGCCTGACCTTTCCACAATATCCTAGTCTCGTTTAACAATAAATGAAAGGTGTTGGTATGATTGCCTATTCCTGAACTTGACTGAGTCATATTATCCACATATAGCAGAGCTAGCAAATTTCGAGCTGAGCTAGTTAGAGTACATTGGAAAAAGTAGTGATATGTTGAAAGACGAAACATTTCAGACCTGATTTACAAATGAAATCCAGTACATCTGTATCTAAAGCTGTGTGGAATGCATAAATGGCTAGAACCATACAAGCATTTCAAAACAAATCTTTCTTACTAGGTTAACAACTTTTCTACAGTCTTCCAGCTATTTAACTTTCTCAGTGGATATTTAGAGCTCAACATCTCCTGCTGAAGTTTAACACAGGAAATTACAATGTGACATACTATAAGTACTACTGACTATCTTTGAAAAATGTATATAGGAAATACAAGTTAACACTCCTGACATCCCCTGGAGTCAATAACACCATACATCTCTACATCCCAAGCCACCAAAAACCTGCCATGCAGGCTAACATAAATAACAGCTTGCATAGTGCAGGAAAAAATTCCACCAAGCAACCCAGAAATGTGGTGATATAATGTACAAGACCCAAAATCATTTGCTCCGCCACTCCCCTGGGTGGATATTCACCAACCAGTGATGCTAACTAAGTGTCTGTGGGAACTTTTCCCTGGGAGGTACAGCAGGTAGAAGATTTGTGATGTTTTTAATGCAACAAAAGAAGAAATGGAGATCAAACGGAAGGGGCATACATATTTAGAAATGCTACTGAGATTCTGTGATAAATTATTAAAACTTCTTGTTAATGTTCATACTTCTCCTTAACCTCAGATGATAATACTGACAGTACAGCAAAGGTGGGAAGAAACCTGGAAAACCTTATTTAGAGCTAAGATAAAAACATTAGGTAAAACAAATGCTTCTGCAAAGCAACATGCTCAGATATGCTCCATTGAGACTTTTCCTAAAATATAAAAACACTATTGAGAAAGTCTGTTCCTGTAGCATCATTTTAGGTCACCGCATTCACAAAGCACAAACCTTGATAACTTGTGTTGGGATAAACAAATGGCATTCAGGGGAAGCAAAGCCAACTGAACTTTACAAAAAGGTAGGTTCAAAGTCTCAAAAATTCCCTCTCATAGTAATTTTTTGACGGCAGAAGAAAATAGTGAAAGCCTTTTTTGTTATTTAGAAGAATTTTTCAATAAAGTTAATATAATTCACCTTTATTAACATGCCAACACTGACTGAATCAGCCAAAAATTTATTAGTGTTTGAGGAGTGCATTTCCTAACATCCCTCTGATAATTTCACAAAATCTGCCATATTCAACCTATTTCTAACATATTCGAAACCTATTTCTTCTTCTTTTTTTTAATGCAGCTCTGTAAGGATAACATATATATCCTTGCACCAAATCAGCATGCATCTAGCCCTAGAGTCTCCCTGCTGGAAACAATCATTGTAATGCTGTGAGAGCCCAGCAAACCAAAAATTGCAAACATATATTTATATCAGTAAGAGAGGAAAACTCTTCTTCCCAGCCACCTACAACACAGATCTCCTTCCTGAAATAAAAACCCGATTTCAAATAGAGGCAGCTTCTCCACCCTTAGCAATCCTCAAGTTACCATTCACTAACCTTGCTAACTCCATTCAGATCTTTAGCACAAAACTTTCATCACTTACCCCCCTTCCAAGGTTTTCCTTTCCAGGGGGTCCTGGTCAGCTTGCTGAGAGTTGGTCCAGAGAAAAAGAGGATCAAAACGAAGAGAAGTTCAAGCCTAGTGATTTTCCCCACTTTCTCTGATGATAACATTTCCACAAGAGAATATCACAAAATTTCTCACATCCTCTTCCCTCCAGGTTATGAAAATAGCATTAATCGTGGAAAGACCTGAGGTAGGTGTTGTTTTGCCATCTTTAACACTGAAGAAGCAGCTCCCCGGTGTAGCCCTGAGCCAAGCTACATTTCTCACAGATCCGGCTCCTGCTCTTTAGTACAGTCAGCACTGCTTCTACTCCAGGAGCTATAAAATAATTTCTGTTCTCCACTCTGCTTTCAGTGGGAATATATTCCTCAGCGTTCTGGGTGAGCCTGATTGAAAATGATAAAAACAGTGATGTCTGTGTCCAGCAGAAAAGAGAAAAGATGTCAGGATTGTGTGGAAAAGATGAGAAGCAGTTGTACTGACAGCTTTCAGGCTGCCTGTGTGATCCTAATAGCCGTGCAACCAACCAAATTGCTCTTTTAAGAGTAATAAGGATTCAGTGAAAGCCAGTATCACAGCCACTTGGGTGGGTAGTTCTGGGCTTCAAAATCACCCAGGCACTGCCACAGATAGCCACTGCCTCAGCCCAGCTTCAGAATATGAAGAGCTGAGCAAAATAGAGTTTGCAAAGAGGGTTAGCTATTGTGTGGCTAGACAGGGATTCCAGCAATGTAGTGCAGACAGACTCAGAACTTAAATGTGTTTAATTTTTCCTTTACTTCACTTCATGACATTATAACAGGATTGCATCTGCACCAATTATTCATAAATGAGTCTGAAATATTTATTAGATGAGCAGCAGTAATTTTTCTCCCCAACAATAAAGCAAGAAAGGCAACTTCTCTTCTTTATCAAAGTCAGTTTATGTTGGCTTTCTTCTATTCTGCCTAATGACCCCACTAGGACTGTTATAAGCAAACTTTGGATATACCAGAAAAACTAAATCAAGGCTGTGTTAATCATGCATTCAGGGAAGCACTTGTTTAAAAATTTGTTTGCAGACGTCACCATGGAAATGCTCTCTATGTCTCTCAGTGTTTCTCAACTGTATTTATGAAAACATTAGTGGTCATACAGTGTAGTTGTAATTAGTGATAAAACACAGGATTGCCTCTGAATTGGGAGGAGGTGGTAAAGTCATAGCACATAAAAGCAACTTGATCTCTAGTACTTGAAATGAATTAGTATGTTCAGAATATTCTGGCAAATATTTTAGATATGTCCACGTGTAAGTATTTTTCCATACCATCATTTATTCCCTTATTGGTGGGCTGCAATGCATAAATTATGCCTTTATGTGTTTTAAAGCAATCAACTCCAGTATTAGGATAACTGCTGGTTTTAGGATGTTACCACTTTCAAACGGAGATAAATTGCCCTTTTCAAGTCATAGTTTTGGAAGAGATACTTGGTATAAACTATATATTGTATTTCAAAATTTAGTCATTAAAATTACTTTTTAAAATAAAACAAGTAATGTTTGTCAACATTTCTACAACAACACATCTCAAACTGTGGCATATTTACAAATAGTAATCACCTTGTGTTCAAGTTTTAATTTAAAAACTTCTGAGGACAGTGAGAAAAGTTTATGTAATAAGCATTTTACAAATAGTAAATTTAGTATCTTAAATCCATGAGTACTTCACAAGGGTACAAGGGTATATTTAACCCAAAGTTCTTTTTCTCTTTAGCCACCACCTCACCTCTTTTAACTCAATATGTTCCTCTCTAAATGAAGGCGAACTAAAATTAGTAGAAGGAATTGGCCAACTCGCTGACCATAATCTTCTTAGGAAGGTGGTAGAACCATTCTTACTTACTGTAAGGATTTTTGGTACCAGCTCCATTTCATTTGAAAGAAAGAATATGTTATTTCATAATTAGTAACTTTTTGTTTTTAATGACCTGCACCTTCTAAAATGGAAAAGAAAAATGTCACATACATTTAAATATAATTAAAGATGTTGTTTAGGATATTGAACAATTTTGAAGCAGTTGGTCAGGAGATAGCAGAAGCTTTTTTTCCTGAACACAGGATACAGTTGGCCAGGTTGACTCTAAAGAAATTTCATGTTCAGATTTTTAAGGTTTGCTTCTTTTTCAATGACCCATGGTAAACACCAGACCATAGATCTCTCGGGGGTGTAAATGGAAATGAAATTGGGAGTCACACTACTGTGGCTCATGCAGAGAAGACCATTCTCCTCCAGAATTTATCTGGGCGATGCTTGACATTTTCTACACACTAAAAGAGGACAAAAATCCTCCTGTGGGAATGGGTGAAGGTAGCATGTAAAATGCATGGAGGTAGAATTTCAAGGAAAAGGGAAAGACGGAAGGGAAGGACAATCTACATGAAATATCTCTGCATAGATCTGAGTGTAGGAATGCCTTCCAAACTAGAAATATTAATAATTAGCAAACTTATTAAAATTTCTAGGCACTTTACATGCATTAATTCATTTGGTTCTTACAGCAATCCAATGAAGGAGGAATAATCATTACGTCCGTCTAGTACACCATAATTAGAGAAAGGGAGGGATTAAGCTAAGTATCCAAGGTTGTACAGCTTGTCTTGAACGTAGGTCAGTTGTGAGCCTTTGCAGATCATTATGCTATGCACTTTACTGAACTGTTTTCTCGGTGCTCAGTTCACAGGTAGCCTGCTCATCAGTAACATCTTAATATAAAAGAGTAATACATATTATAGTGATAGCATATTCAACATGTGCTGGCTTCTGTTTGAATACTTTACATATTTTAATTAGACTATCTTCAAAACAACTTTGTAAGATATACCTGTCATCATCCACATTTTGCAGGTTACTTGTCCAATGTCGCAATAGCACATAATTCGTAGACCCAGAATTGCAACTTGCATGAAATCAGTTTAATTATTTTGTGTCTATTTTCTAGATTCTGGTGCATGACCCTGAGGAGATCAGACGGGCATCAAGCGAGCTAGGAGATGAGATAGCTGGGGAGAGTGTGGAGGAACTGGAAACTCGCACTGGCTGTTGGCAGCCCCAGTGAGGTCTATAAATGGGAAAGTACTAAAGAAGATCCCATGGAGAAAAAAAACATCAGAATAAACTTCATTGCCCCTTGCTTGTTATCAAAAGAAGACATAAGGAGAGATGAGGCCCCAACAGGACTTGATATTCAGATAGTTACAACATAATAAAGGTTTTAATGCAAGCCATAAAGAGTTGTGGAGTTGACTACAGAGAAGGAGAACTGTAAAGAAAGTACATTTTAAAGTACAAGGGGAGAGAGGAAAAAGTATCGGTTCAGCTAGCACATGTGGAGCAGAAAAGACAACCTTTTGACTCGTATATGTGCTGCTGAAGAGAGCACACCTTTTCACTCGTGATCAGTTAAGTTTATAAGACTTGGTTGTGTCAGGCAAAATGAAGCGGATGATCCAGTCTGAGGGAATGGCATGATCATATTCACAGAGATGTAAAGAACCCTCACTCCTTCAGGAACTGCCAAAGAGGCAGTGTGGCTGGAGTACAAAATACATGAACAGCAGGAAATGAGCAGGCAATGATAAGCAAGGGTTAGATTAAAAATGGCTAAATGCATGCACATTGAGGAGATACTCAAGTGAAATTATAGGACACACATGTACAAATACCAAATAGTTTCTCTACTGTGAGAAACTGAAAGTGTAAATAAGGCCTAAAAGGTGCAATAGATAATGTGAAATAGGAAGAAAAGGGGCAAAGGAGAAGTGGAAATAGAAGGAGTAGAGGAAAGGAAAGACAGGAATGGAATTACTACGAGAAAATGAAAGAAATGAAAAAGTCTTTGTGGATAGGGAGGGGTACAGGGGTTGAAGGGAGGGCAGGAGAATGGGGAAAAAATAAGAACCCAGATGGATTATGTAAAAGTGCAAATTTCCAATGATGAACGCCGTTATATTGTATACCTTAAATGTACCAATAAAATTAAATTTAAAAAATACTAACTTAGATTTTACTGTTGCTGTAAAGGGATCAGCAGTAGGTTTATCTGAAGGAAATTACATTATCCAAAATAAGTTTTCCAAAAAACTTTGGGCTGCATCTTGATGAGTCAATTTGGAAACAGAAAAGAGGAATGATGATTTAGAAATTAAAGTGACATTCCAGGCAAGAGATATTTTGGAACTGAACTGAAAAAGTGACAATAAATAGGATAAACTTTCTAAAACAGATGTTAAGGTTTATTATCAGCATTCATTAGTGGAATAAATGTTTAATAACCTTCATACCTAAAATCAGAAAAATGCTAGGCATATAAGATCAATAAGATAATGTCCCTGCTACCACAATGATTGTATCCTCAACGAGTTTTAATAAAGATACCCAAAGAAATGGATGGGACACTTTTCTAATGTTTACACTCTCTTTAAATATGTCTTACATATTTGATTTTGTCTTTTTAACTGTTTCTCAAATCTCCTACCATTAAGCAAGATACAGAAATCTTAAAAATCATATTTATTTTTATTCTAATATTGCCATGTATTCTGTTCTGATTACATCCACTAATGTCTTACTATTTATGTACAGTAAGTACTACCTTGATTTTCATTAATTTTTTTTTTTTTTGTACCAGGGATTGAACTCGGGTCCTTGTTCTTGCAAGGCAGGCCACCGAACTGCTGAGCTAAATCCCTGGCCCTATTAATTTTCTTAATAAGGATATAATCTCACTAATCTCCAGTGCATGGCAATAATAGTGTAACAGAAGTTGTGCTTACTACTCTTTTAATAATTGAAAATAGGAAATGGAACCTTTTTAAAATATTACTAAGCTTTTGAAAAGAATTTGTTAAAATTTTGTACCAATGCATTGCTAACCTCACTAATTTTACTCGTTTTATTAAATCTGTTTGAAGACACAATCTCTTTTCTGAGTTTGGTCATTAGGTGATCCCATGCCTCAGGGTGTAGGCAATTCTACCCATGGAAGATCATTTGTCAATGCCTGGATACTGTTTTTACTTATTGCAATGGAAACTGTGTTGGTGGGAAAATGCTACTAATGTGTACAGTGAGTAGAGGCTGGGATGGTATTAAATCACCCACAATGCAAAGGACTGTCCTTGCAACAAAGAATTATCTGGCAAAAAACGCCAATAGTGTAAGGATGAGAAAGTCTGAGGCATCCTCATCTTCTTTTATCACAGTATGATAATTCTTCTCTCCATCATGCACTTAAGTAGATTTGGAAGCAAATTTTTATTTTGAGTGAAGCTCTCTAGCTTACTATAGGCCGCTTCTACCATTACGTTCTCCAACAGCAGTGGATGCTAAATGTTCATATTCTTTTGCTACAGAGGAAGCCTCCTATTTCTCCAACTGTCCATCAAGTCAAAAAAGTGGTACAATCACTTGGCTAGAGTACTGGGAGGAACACAGCGAGGCATGTGTGTATCAAGAAAAAATTTATGTGTCCAGAAAATTATCTGTGTCCCTCAATTACACAAAAGCCAGAAAAAAATCATCAAGCTAAATTTAGCTTTGTGACTCTCCAATTACTGTCCCTCATACTATCTTGGAAATACACTTTACAAGCTGTAGGTGTAATATTAATACAAATATTTCATAACATATT